TATACATGATGATAATCATGATGATGATATAGATAATGATGAATATAACTGATAATGCAGACAGTATGTAGAAAGATAGATGATAGAATTTGTACCATGTTTCCAGGACTAGAATACAATCATGGTAAGTATAATATAATACCTGTTATAATTGAAGTCTGTAAACAGTCTTAAGAAGTAGTTTAGTTTTTTTCCCTTGACACCTTGACAAATCTGCAAACTACACATACAGGCTAAGTATTTCTGAGGCTATGTGAACTTCCTAAAAAACATCTCCTGTCTATGGATTCCAGCATAATACATACTGTCTTCTAAGGAGTTTTTAACCTGGAATCCATGGATCTCCAAGCAGTGCACAGATAAAATTCAGGGAATCCATAAATTTGAATGGGAAAATGGATCTTTATTTTAACTAATCTCCAACTGAAATATACCTTTCCTTCTATGATATACTGAGTAAACCATAGTAGTTTTAGTAATACCAGTGACAAGATAAATAACAGAAATCACAGATATTTGCTTATATGTTGCATAAATGACAGTTGATATAAAAGTCAGATATTTTCATATCATGTTACATGCAGTAAATATACCTTCATCACTATGTTGAAATCATGACAGTTTTCAGATTCACTAGGTTAGATTTTAATGAAATTTAAAGGTGTTCCTATATTAATATATGAAAAATTTAAAAAATATTTTGATATCTACATTTCAAAATAATTGTTTTTCTATATTCTAGTTTATGCATTTAAAATGTTATTCTGAGATGGGGTCCTTAGGATTTACCAGTCTGACAAAGAGGTCCCTGGTACAATGTGAAGAACTCCTGGACACAGAAATAGATCCTCAACGCAGGCATGACTGACAAGCTGAAGCCTAGTAAGCGTTGGAAGCAGCCATGTTGCAAGCAATCTTTCTCAGAGTTTCACCCACACTGCTGCACCTCTTAATTAACGCTTCTCACTTTAAATAATTACATTACATTGCCTGTCTCTCTCTCTCTCTCTCTCTCTCTCTCTCTCTCTCTCTCCCCTGCTCTTTTTTTCCCTCTCTCTCTGCCTTCTGTTTTTCTAGGAGGGAGCAGCAACAACTTCTAAACCCCACCAGCTTACAACCAAAAGTTTCATCATGAAAGCATCTTTTAATTGCCAATAACCTCCAAAATAGAACAATATTTGTCTACCAAAACAAAAGCATTCATTAAGAAATCATCTAGGATCCTATTTTTATTTACTAAAACTATTGGGAAGAACCTATGTTATACAATGAATTTACGCTTACACAAATTTCTACTCAGTGTTGGAAAATGATACTTTAGTCAGCTGGTACAACCCTATGACCGTAAATGTCTGATTTCACTTGATATAGTATTGACTTCCTAACTTTCTGTGAATTAGAACTTCAGGTCCAGAAAGTAATAAGAGCACACACAAATATAGTGTTTCTTATGTACTAAGAAGTGTTCTAAATGCTTTATTTATGTAATGTTCATCACAGGTTTTGGGGTAGTTACTTATTATCTCAATTTTACAGATAAAGTCAAATTGAAGAGAGGCTCTGTTACTTTTCCAAGGTTACATAGCTGCTAAATGGCAGAGACAGGACTAAAGCCCATGCCGTCTCCCAAGTCCCTGCTCTAATCCACTGTCACTAGGGGAGGGGCGCTTCAGACACTTTGCTATTCCTAAAATTACAGAGGTAGCCCCCACCCCATCTCTACTGTATTAATTATTTATAGTAAATACAGAGGGTGTCGAGAATCGGTTCTTAAAAATAATAATAATAAAAAATAAACTTCCAAACCTCTTCCTGTGTTTAGTTGAGCACAGGTGCATAGCACCCTGTGTATGACTCTGACCAGGAAATGAGGGATTGGCTCTTCTGATCACGCAGGAAGGCACTTGTCCATTTAGAAGGGATATGAAAAGCTTCTATAAGCAAAAAAGGAGGTGCATGTGACTTGATCTCTCTAATTCTTAGTCTCACCATCTGCAAAATCAGCTGTGACAATCAGTCATCACGTAGCACTGACAAGTTCTTTATATTAAGCCCCAGGGAGGGGCTAGATCTCAGCCGCTTCCCTTGGCGCCTCTCTCTCTCTCTCTCAGAGCCTGTGTCTGTAACTTCAGAGAGATTTTGTCGCTGCCATAGGCAGCTGGGTCCTCTCTGCTGTGTGACCTTGTGTCTCCTGGGAGTAGGTGAGCTCAGCACACATCCGGTTGGTCAGTTCCTATCCTGGGCTTGCCAGACCCCTCCCTGGCCAGCACCTCCCTTCTGGGCATGATCTGCAGCCTTTATCTCTTGGACCTTAGATGCGGACATCTATCAGATGCCATGTACTGGTACTGGCAGGACCCAAAGCAAAATCTGAGACTGATCTATTACGCAAGGATTGAAACGGATATTCAGAGAGGAGACCTAACTGAAGGCTGCAGTGTCTCCCGAGAGGAGAATGGCCTGTTTCTTCTCATGGTGAAGTTGGCCCACTCCAGCCAAACAGCTTTGTACTTCTGTCCTGGGAGCGCACCACAGCGGAAGCGCAGCCATTGTCTCTCTGTGCGGAAATGTGTCCTAGTCCTACAGTCTCCACTATATCCTCTAGCTTAATTTTTTCATTTTTAATATTTTCATGAGATTTTACTATGTCCTGTTACTTTTGGAAATACAAAAGATACAAAACTGAAAAGAAAATAGATCCTTTATCCAAGGAGCTAAGAGTCTAGCAAGAAAGTAATTACAATAGAATGGAAAATATAATATATAATACTATAATCCGAAGTCATTTGGGAGCTTAAGGGAGGACATGCGCAATTCTGTCTGATTGAATCAGAGAGAGCAAAGAGGAAGTCACATTAGAACTTCACCAGATAGACCTGGTTCTGAATAGGGCATTCTGGGCAAAGAGAACAACTTTTGCAAAGGCATATTAAAGAGTGTGACACTTTGGGGAACAGTTTACAAAGAGAAACAAGATGATCAATTTATATGAATCAAAAGAAATGGAATACATTTGAGGAAGTAGACAGAAAGGAGTTTTTGAAAAAGTTGAGTTTTTGGTTCCATGAATATAAGAAGTATGAAAGTCCTTTGTAGGCTGTTGCTCAAAAGAGAGAGCTGAAGCTTGATTGTCATCAGCAGACAAGCAAACGATACAATTTTTCAGTTTTCCTCATATGATTGTGATCATTTACAAAGGGCGCAATTTCAAACAATATGAAATCATGTTAGCAGTGGCAGTTCCCATTTGGGGTAATAGGGTTCAACTGTCTATGGAACAATCAGATAAAAACTAGAAGTAGGCAACTGCATAGACAAGACGTGAAATTGAGATACCATAAAGCTGGACTAGAGGTTGAGATTCTGCAGATTTCAGCATGTAAATAATTGAAATACGGGGACAGAAAGTTCCACCAAAATATAGATTTAGATCACAGAGATAAAATGCATGGAAATTAAGACTGTGGTATTCTGGTTCCTTATGGAGATTAAAGAAGCCTGAGAGTGAGGAGTGATTAGAACATGGGATGTAAAAACAGAAGAGGGAGAGAGTGAGAGTTTTGTTTTGTCTAGTATTTGACATTTCTAAGAAAATTAGGGGAAAAAATAAAGGTAACCCAGGCAGAAGAAGCCACAAACACTTCTTGGGTAACAGGGAATAGTTAGTAAAATGTTATATGTTAGTCTACTAAGGTGAACAGAACCTTTTCCATTGAGGTTCCTTTTGGGAAGACATAAGACTTAGCTACGATTCCAAGAAATCACCAAAGTAGGAAATGAAAAGCCTCCATGAATGAAGTTGCATGAGTGTGCCTACCAGTGGATAAAGGACAGGATAAAAGAATAGCTGCAAAGGATAAAAGAATAGCTGAGACACTGAAGTAGAAGCTTCAAGTGAGAGGACTAAATCTAACAAACATGAAGAATTATTACAAAACCACAACAATAAAAGTGGTGTAATATAGGGGCACTGATATATAAATAGATCCAAGGGAAAAAATACACATGCATAAACACACAGCAATAGTACTGCAATAATCAAAGAATATATCTTTCAACAAATGCTGATGGGAAAATTGGGTATCTATACAAAGAAAAACAAGTGCAATCGGACTCATCTCAATACATAGCCAAAATCAATCCCAGCTCTATTAAAAGCATAATTGTAATAAAGTCACAAGGCTTCTAGAATACTGTATAATATAAGAGCACATCTTCATGGCCTTAAAGAAGGGAAAGATTTCTTATTCCCTCAATCAGTAGGGAACAGATTGATAAAAATCACTATATACAAATTAAGATATTGAATTTATCAAAGTTAATTATATAAGAGTGACAGGATTGACTGTATAGTGACATATCATTAAATATATATATATTTACACCAAACTAATATCTCTATCTATATTTATATATTCAAGAAAAGCTAATATATATAATTTATTTTTTAAAAACCTACAAACTAATTTTTCTACAGATCAATGAGAAAAAGGTAAGTGTCAACAGAAAAAGTGAGTGAAAACCATAAGCACCTAGCAAAATCTCACTGGTCATTAAACATGTAAATGTTGCTAAATTTAATAATCAGGGAAATAGAAATTGAGTCCTATGAAATATATATCCACAAGAATGGCTACAATGATAAAAATAGTAATCTATTAAGTGTTGGCAAGGCAAAGTGTCAACAAGAACTCTCTGCATCACTGGCTAGAGTGTATACAGGTGGATCCACGTTGGAAAACAATTTGGCATTATCTAGTAAATTCAAGGTGTATGTACCCACTATCCATCAATTCCACCCTTGAGAAAGGCTTTTCTAGAGAAACCCTTCTACAAAAATCAGGACAAGAATATTCACTGTAACACGTCTGTAATAGCAAAAATGTATAAAATATCCAAATGTAACTTAACAGAAGAATAAATCATTATAAAGAAATTACTCAGTAGTGAAAATTCATGAACTAAAATTAAACACACAAACATGAATGAATTTCACAAATTTGAATGAAAAATTACACTGCAGAAGAAAAGTACAGCATTGTCTCATTTGTGTAAAGTTTGAAAACGTGTAAAACTAAACACTATTTTGTTTGCTTTTGTGGCTATGTATTAAAATATAAAAGAGAAGCAAATAATTACAAAAACAAACACCTCAATAGAGTTAGAGAACAGAGGCATGGAACCTGGGAAGAGAAATAAGAGCTTTCAAATGTTCTGGTAATATTTTATTTCCTGTGCCAAGTTGTTTTTGTAAGTGATCATTCTTTGGTATGTTATCAAGTTATTATCCATATATTCAAAGTCAATTTTGTAATGTGGAGAAAACAACCTCACTGAACAATTAAACAAATAAGGAGAAATCTATGGAAAGATATACATTAAGCTGTTAACATTACTTACCTGAAATGAGGATGAGATGGAGGAAGAAAAAAGTGAAAAAAAAAATCATCAAAAAATACACTATTTAAAATAAATAGATACAGAGAGAAAAAGCAAAAAAGGGAGGTTATCTAAAAGAAACATTAGTAAATGAACAAGCTAAAATACACCAGAAAGAGCTAGAAAGTGAAGTATTTTTCAAAGCAGTGCCTAGTTTCAGAATCATAAAGATAGTAATTACAACATAGGTATGTATTATACAAAAAGATAATTAGATAATTAATAGCCAGAAGGAATGCCCAGTCTTGAGTTAGAAACTGATGCTCAAATTAATGGCAAAGGACATTTTTGAAACAACTGTGAAACTTTGCATAAAAACTAAATAGTAGATAAGATGAAAATGCATTGATGAGAAAGAATGATGATCATTAACTGAAAAAAGCTTATCAAACAGAATTTCAAGAATATTGTTTATAAAAAATAATGTGTCTATATATCTGCACATTTATATATGGAGGGAGAGAGGGATCTAGAAAGACCCGCACTAAGGTGTTAACAGTGATAATTGCTTTCCGGCAGTGGCATCATATTTTTATTTTGTTATTTTATTTTCTAATGTTCTAAAATATCAGTGCATTGCTTATATTAGCAAAAACAGACATAAAGTATTTTTAAATGAATACAAAATAACTTAGTTATATTTACTGAGTTAGGATAAAAGCTTTTTTCCCCAATACCATAAAGTGTTTTTGCTCAGGAACATGAAGCAGTAACATGATGATTATAAGTCTGCGGAGGGATCACGTCAAAAAGGTGCAGAGAAGGCATAAAAAAGCCTCATCCCTTTGCAATGTCAGTGTGACCATGGGCACCAGGCTCCTCAGCTGTGCAGCCCTGTGTCTCCTGGCAGCAGGTGCGCCCCGAGCACAAAAGAAAAATCCTTGTCCTCGGTTTGCCAACCCCCAAATCCAAGCTTTTGTTTTGTTTTGTTTGTTAAGCTCTTTCCTGGACTCTTTCTACAGCGTCTGTTTCTTTCTCTTACAGGCTCTTTTCATGCCGAAGTCACACAGACTCCAGGATATTTGGTCAAAGGAAAAGGACAGAAAACAAAGATGGATTGTACCCCCGAAAAAGGACATACTTATGTTTATTGGTATCAACAGAATCAGAATAAAGAGTTTACATTTTTGATTTCCTTTCAGGATGAACAAGTTCTTCAAGAAACGGAGCTGCACAAGAAGCGGTTCTCATCTCAATGCCCCAAGAACCTACCTTGCAGCCTGGAGATCCCGTCCTCGGAACCAGGAGACACGGCACTGTATCTCTGTGCCAGCAGCCAATCCACAGCACTGAAATGTCAGTTCCTCTTAGCACACAAACTTGTCACAGGCCCAGCTCAGGAAGCAGGTGATGTATTAGGTTGGAACGGAGTAATAGAAAGTAACTGTAGCCAGTTTAAGCCACAGTGGAATTTAACACAAGGATAAAGCATGTTTAGCAACAGTCAAGAGGCGACAGACAGATAGTTCTGAAAAGGCACCCTAGGGCTGGGCTCTAGAATGACTCTCTCTCCAGCTCTGATTTTTCTTCAATTTTGGCTGCTGCATGCTTTTATCTCCCGTACACCATCTCTTTCTCTCCAGGCCTCATGGTGAGAATGAGATGGTCACTAAAGATTACAAATTCAGTTGCCATCATTTCCCTACGCTGATAAACACCAGCCCGGCTCTTTCTAAGCCTGAGTTCAAAATCCCAGGAGAAAAAACCAGATCGGTCATGATCCAGCCATGAACCTTCTCATAGAGCACTCAGCAGTAGGCAGGTATGTATGTATTTAAAATCACATAAATGTTACTTTTCCACTCAGCTCAAGCAAGGGAACTGCTCTGTTTTTCTATATGTACATTCGGTCTGTTGCTTCTATATGATAGAGAGTACTCATATCCATGTCTTCAGAAACACCCAGATTTTCTCCAGTTTCCTGCCAGAATTGAAAATTCTTGCACAAATACCTTCATACACTTGTATGATTGCTTATAGGATTATATGCCCAGAGCAAGTCATGATTGCTGAGACATGGAATTCTATGCATATTTTATCTATTTAAATACCACCATGGGTTCTTCAGGATCACTGTATACATCTGCAATCCCACATAAAAGTAAATGGGGTGTTTTCCTACATCCTAATATCTCCTATAATCCTTATCCAGTAATCTAGATTGTTCTTAGTCTAGCAATGTAAAGAGATTCCAATCTCTTTCTCTCTCCACCCACCCCCATCCCCGCCCCACTCACCCACTGCCAGAATATCATCAGAGTTTACCGTAAAGATACAGGTGACAATTTTTTTTAAACTAAATAAACCAATAATTTAAAGGAATTGAGAGATTAGTTTATACCACTATAATAATAACTGGCAACAATCTAGAAAGCTGAATAATGTTCTCTCCCTCCTTTTCTTTCTCTTGCATTTTTCTAATTACTAATGAGTTTGAGCACTTCTTCATGTGATAGTGGTCCTGGATTTCTGTTCTCAAAATGGTCTATCCATATCCTCAGGCAAATTCTCTATTGAGAGTTCTATATTTTCCTAAAACAATTTGTAGAAGGTCCTGAGATATACAAGATAATAGTCTCCTTTTTTGAAATGTTAGGCACTGGAAATACCACCACCCAATATGGCACCACTCCTGTCCCAGACTTCAAAGAATCAGTAGATGTGGGAGGAACCAGGTGGTCTCTTACCTTAGCAGGTGCATGCATGTTATCTCCATTATGTGAATGATACTTCTGTCTTTCACTTCCACTCTGCTGAATGCTCAACATTCTGTCTCTTCCATTATTACTCATGTCTTTAAGCAGCATAGAAAAGTTACCAGCCATGGCTGTCCCCAAACCACTATCACCCAAAACCACTATCACTATGTTTTGTAAGGAAAACAAATTTTAAATTATATCCTGAAAACCATCAGGGTTTACCATAAAGATAACAATCTAAAAAAATCAAACAAACAATTTAATAGTGAATGAGAATATGAATACAGAAAATTCATATGAATATGGAATGAAATATTAGTAAAAATATGTTTGAGAACACTTACAAATGAATTTTGTTGTCCAATTTGATTACGAGTCTAGTCAAAGTGTTAGTCTTTTAAACTACTTATAATAGTGTCAGTTTGAGAATATACAACAAAACTTTTAAAATGTTTATTTTGGGAATTTGGCTTTAAATAAAAATAGTTAGTTATTACTGTACTTGTTCTATTGCCTTACACCACTATAAAACTTGACAAAAATTGTAAGACAACTATTTTCAGACATCAGACAACAGGCAGTACAGGGTCGCCATCCCTGGGAAAGAAGAAACCTAGAAGGGGAATTTCACTATTGTCCTGAGACTCTGCCTTGGCATGATTTCTGGGCTGCAGCACAAGGACATGAAGCCCAAGCAGGGGGCAGGGGTCTGTCCAGCAGAGGGAGGCAGAGATTGAGTTCAGAGCTATGGCCATGGCTGATAGTGATAGGGATGAGCTACTGAAGAGAAGGAAGCTATGCAGAATAAGACCTCCAAATGTTGTATGAGGTCCCCTCAAGTCTTTAGTCAAAAACTAAGCAGAAAATGCAAGGGAAACGCCTCCATAAGACCTGGCAGAGAGCAGTTGCTGGGTAGCTGTGAGAGGAATAGAGATTCTGACAGTTATATGAACATGGGAGACATGAATCCTGACCGGGCAGAGCTGAGAGGGCTTGCTGAAACCCCTGGGAATGCAGCTGGTGCCACATAGGGGTCACATCTCAAGAGAAGGACTACCAAAGTCCTAGAGTGAACCACTCCAGAACTGCCCTAACAAAGCTCAGCAAGTCTCAAAATGATCTCGTTGATCTGCCAATAAGTTCACTGCCTTTTGAAGAAAAATATCTCAGCACTCTCTAAATAAAAGCAAATATATACATATATAAATATATACATATATATAAAATCTGTAGATATATGTGTCTGTGGAGAGATATGTATCTCTAGAGTGTCAACAATGTAGCATCTACAATTTCGATCTTAAAATGAAAAATATATTAGACATGGGAAGAACTAGGAAATGTTACACATGGGGAAAAAATAAACAATAAAAACTAAAATCCAACCCTGAAATAACACAAATGTTGGACATTTCAAATGAGAATTTTTGAGCAGTTATTATAGAAATATGTTCAAGAATTTGGAGGAAAATATGGTCATGATTTAATCAACTGATGAAATTGATTAACCCATAGCAATCAAGACAAAAAGGTGAAAGACACAAATTACCATATCAATGATGAAGGAAATCATATGTCTATAGATACAAAAGACATTAAAATAGTGACAGAATATTGTAAGTATATGCAATACATTATTCAACTTAGATGGAATGAAATTACTTGAATAACACCACCTACCAAAATGATTCAAAATGAAATAAGAAATGTAAAGAACTTCAAATGAGAGAAGCTAAATTTTTTATCAAAAACCCTCTCTCAAAGGAAACTCCAGATGCAAATTATTTCTTCATGAATTCCATTTTAAAATTAAGGAAAAAAGACTCTCAATCTTACATAAACTATTTCAGAAAATAGAAGAGGAAGAAACACTTCACAACACTTTTATAAACCCAGCAAAACCCTAATGCCAAAATCTGTCAAATGCATCTTTGCAGTATCTTTTATGGCTGTACATGAAAGAAAACTTTTCACAATATATTAACAAATTAAATCCAAATATGTCTCAATAAAATACTGGCAAACTGAATCCAGCAGCACATCAAAAAGCTTATCCACCATGATCAAGTTGGCTTCACTCCTGGGAGGCAAGGCTGGTTCAACGTATGCAAATCAATAAACATAGTTCATCACATTAACAGATCTAAAGACAAAAACCACATGATTATCTCAATAGATGCAGAGAAGGCCTCCAATAAAATCCAACATCATGTTAAAATCTCTCAATAAACTAGATATTGAGAAACATACCTCAAAATAATAAGAGCTATTTATGACAAACCCACAGCCAATATCATACTGAATGGGCAAAAGTTAGAAGCATTCCCCTTGAAAATGAACACAAGACAAGGATGCACTCTCTCATTACTCCTATTCAACATTACTATTGGAAGTTCTGGCCAGAGCAATCAGGCAGGAGAAAGAAATAAAAGGTATTCAAATAGGAAGGGAGAAAGTCAGATTGTCTTTTTTCGCAGATGACATAATCCTGTATCTAGAAAATCCCATTGTCTCAACTCAAAAGCTTCTTAAACTGATAAGCAGCTTCAGCAAAATCTCAGGATACAAAATCAAAGTACAGAAGTCACAAGCATTTCAATACATAAACAACAGGCAAGCAGAGAGCAAAATCATGAATGAACTCCCATTCACAATTGCTACAAAGAGAATAAAATGCATAGGAACATAGCTAACAAAGGAAGTGAAGGACTTCTTCAAGAATAACTACAAACCACTGCTCAAGGAAACCAGAGAGGACACAAACAAATGGAAAAAGATTTAATCCTCATGGATAGGAAGAATCAATATCATGAAAATGGCCATATAGAACATAGTAATTTATAGAGTCAATGCTATTCCCATTAAATTACCATTGACATTCTTCACAGAATTAGGAAAAACTATTTTAAAATTCATATGGAACCAAAAAAGAGTCCAAATAGCTAAGACAATCATAAGCAAAAAGAACAAAGCTGGAGGCGTCATGCTACTGGACTTCAAACTATACTATAAGGCTACAATAACCAAAACAGCATAATACTGATACAAAAACAGACACATAGACCAATGGAAGAGAGTAGAGAACTCAGAAATGATCACACATCTACACATCTGATCTTCGACAAACCGGACAAAAACAAGCAATGGGGAATGGATTCCCTATTTAATAAAAGGTGCAGGGAGAATTGGCTAACTATTTGCAGAAAATTGAAACTGGACCTCTTCCTCACACCTTATACAAAAACTAAATCAATATGAATTAAAGACTTACGTGTAAAACCTAAAACTATAAAAACCCTAGAATAAAATCTAGGTAATATCACTCAGGATATAGGCACAGACATAGATTTCATAATGAAATCGTCAAAAGCAATTATAACGAAAGCAAAAAACGACAAAGGGATCTAAAGAGTTTCTGCACAGCAAAAGAAATTATCATTATAGTGAACAGGAAACCTACAGAATGGGAGAAAATTTTGTAGTCTATCCATCTGACAAAGGTCTAATAACCAGAATCTACAAGAAATTCAAACACATTTACAAGGAAAAAACAACCCCATTAAAAAGTGGGCAAAGGACATGAACAGACACTTCTCAAAAGAAGACATTCATGCGGCCAACAAACATACCAAAAAAAATCTCAACACCACTGATCATTAGAGAAACGCAAATCAAAACCACAATGAGATACCATCTCATACCAGTCAGATCAGCCATTATGAATATGCTGGTAAGGTTGTGGAGAAATAGGACTGCTTTTCCACAGGTGGTTAAAACCTAAATTAATTCAACCATTGTGGAAGACAGTGCGGTGCTTCCTCAAAGATCTAGAACCAGAAATACCATTTGACCCAG